ATCGACCCAGGTCTCCCACTCTGTAGGCAGATTCTTTATTGCCTGAGCCACCAGAGAAACCAAAGAATACTATTAGACTGAATTTATTATTGAATTCTATTCTATTGCATGTAGTCAGTTTTTTAAATGAATGTGCAACTGCAAATAAGATAACCCATTAAAACTCCAACGATAAAGCAGAGTTTCAAGATCTGGAGATATAACTTCCCAGCAGTTTCTAAAAGTGTTAATACTGGTAATAGAAAATAGATTTAAGTAATGATATTCATCCAACTAGTGTATAAATCTGAAGCATCTTATTTTGTTGTGTAATTGAGGCTACCTCTACATAAGCCTACAGCAGATGGTGGACCAGGGCCTCTCAGTCAGCTTGTCCATTAGTACAAAATGACATGCGACTTCATTACAGGATATTTTGTAACTATATTTTATAAAATTCTAGGTCAGAATTATGTACAATCAGTCCTCCCGGCTGAGGTCAAGACATTGCCACAGTAAACAGGAAGAATACCACAGAATTTAAGTTCACTTTCCCTAAGATGGACTCATGGCCTGACCTGGGAGTGTCCAGAGGCTGATGGGGCACCCTTAACAATGATAAAGCTTTGTGAGCTGAAGCACACATGAAAGATGGACACCCAAGAATTTAAGTAGCAGAGTTTTTATTTCTCAATCTCTTTGGTAAACAGATTTACCACAAACTGGTAGACTTGAAAGAATAGAAACTTATTCTCTCACAGTTCTGGAAGCTAGAAGTTTGAAACCAAGGAGCAGGCAAGGCCATGCTCCCTCTAGAAACCTGAAAAAATCCTTCCTTTTCTCTTCACAGCATCTCATGTTTGCTGCAGTCTGCCTCCACCAAAACCTGGCCTTTCTTCTTTTTATCTCTGTATGTCCTGTTCTCTTCTTATAAATATACTAGTCATGGGATTTAGGACCAGCCCTGATCCAGAATGATCTCATCTCAGTTCTTAACTGATCACATGTGCAAAGACTCTATTAGTTAATAGAATCATAAGTGGATGCTGAATTTTGTGAAAAGTTATTCTGCATCTGTTGAAATGATCATGTTACTTTTATTCTTCAGTTTGTTAATGTAATCCATCATGCTGATTTGCAGATATTGAGCCATCTTTGCATTGCGGGCATAAATCCCAGTGATCATGGTATATGATCTTTTCATTGTATTGTTGAATTTGATTTGCTAATATTTTCTTGAAGATTTTTGTATCTATGTGCATCAGTGATATTGGCCTATGATCTCCTTTTTTGTGTGATTCTCTGTCTGGTTTCGGTATTAGGGTGAGGCTGGCCTTGTAGAATGAGTTCAGAAATATTCTTCCCTCTGAAATTTTTTGGCTAGTTTGAGAAAAATAGGTGTTGACTCTTCTCTAAATGTTTGGTAGAATTCACCCATGAAGCCCTCTGGTCCTAGACTTTAGTTTGTATGGAGTTTTTTATTATTATTATTGTTATTGATTTCATTGCTAGTAATTGGTTTGTTTACATTTTTTATTTCTTTTTCTTTCAGTCTTGAGAGTTTTCACATTTCTGGAGATTTATTCATTTCTTCTAGGCTGTCCATTTTATTGGTGTGTGTATAGGTGTCCATAGTAATTTCTTGTGATCTTTTGTATTTCTGTGGTGTCACTTATAACTTCTCTTCTTTCATTTTTTATTTTATTTTATCTTCTTTCATTTTATTTATTTTTTTAATTATCACTCTTTCTTTTTTTGTGAGTCTGACTTAAGTTTATTTTATTAAACTTTTCAAAGAACCAACTCTTAGCAGATTATACAATGTTAACTAAACCATGTGAAATATGTATTCATATGGAAAAATTTCACAAAAAGGAAAGAAGCTTGGTTAGGATGGAAGAATTATGTATCATTTCATTCTTAAATAATCTGTTTTATTAGTTTTGTATTTAGCTTTAAGTGATTAAGGAATTGTTATTACTACTGGAAGGACTACGAGTTGCCCTTCAAAAATGTCATATGCTTTCTTCAATGATATTGGTATATTGATTGTATATCATTAACAATAAGCAAGCATTTATTTTCTAACAAGCCAGTCCCATGGGTCGTCCATTACAACATGCTGGTGGGAAGACAAGGCAAAGTTGATCCCACATGGGAGCATGTGGGGAGACCACGTCCTATAGATCTTCTCACAGGAAAGGTGGGCAAGTTCAGGGGGACCATCTGTGCTTTGCTTTGCCCCCTAAGAGTGTGGACTGTGGAAAGAGGAGGCATCTGTGAGTCAGACAAAAACGAGTCCTTGGTGAGTTTAGCACCACAACAAGCAACCAGGCTCTCTCTGCCTCCAAACAATCAGTATGAGGTCATAGCACCTCCTGAACTGTATTCACAAGAATATGTATTCAAGAAAAAGTCATGCCTTAGAGCTAAGTGACATATGAGAAAGTGTTGGAATACGGGACATTTTATAGGATACCTGACCTGTCTCCTCCGTAAGTCTATGCATTAAGAACAGTAAATTGTAGAATCCTTTCTAGGTTAAAAAAACATTTAAGAGACATAGGTATCAGAGACATAGTGCAGATTTTGTATCTTGATTGAAACAAACTAATTGTAAATAAGGGGAATTTTTGTTGTTCATTCGCTAAGTCCAACTTTTTGCGACGCCGTGGACTGCAACACACCAGCCCTCTCAGTCTTCCACTATCTTCAGGAGTTTGCTCAAATTTATGTCCATTGAGTCGGTGATGCTATCTAACTATCCCACCCTCTGCCACCCCCTTCTCCTTTTGCCTTCAATCTTTCCCACCATCGGGGTCTTTTCCTGTTAGATAGGCCATGTATTATATCATAGTAAGGAATTAGTGCAAATTTTGTTCATACTGGTAAGGTTGGCCCTGAAAAAATCTCCCTTCTTATTTAGAGATACAGAAATAATTAGGAGTGAAACATTATGATGTCTGGAATTTGCCTTAAAATATTTCAGCAGAGAAAAAAGAGAGAAAGAAAAAAAGGAATCTTAGAGAAAGGAAGTATGGCAAACTGTTCATAATTGTTGGGACTTTATCATCAATATATGGGGAGTTATTTTATTTGTCTATTTTTGCACATGTTGGAAAATTTCCATTATAAAAGAGTTCCTGTCCTCTGTGTTCAGTCGTGTCTGACTCTTTGCAACCCCTTGGACTGTAGCCTGCCAGCCTCCTCTGTCCTTGGAATTTTCCAGGCAAGAATATTGCATTGGATTGCCATTTCCTTCTTCAGGGTATCTTCCCAACCCAGGGATTGAACCCATGTCTGCAGTATCTCCTGTATTGGCAGGCAGATTCTTTACCACTGGTACCACCAACATAGATAAATACATTCCTTGAATATTACCTTCCAAAAACTTCTGTGATTTTTCCTGAGCAAGCTTTAAGGGCTAATTTGTTAATATTCCCCATTATAAGTCAAAGATTTCTCAGGGGCTATGAGTAATAACTAGAATCAAACCTTCTCATCCACTCCCGACAGGAGGAAAAATTCCATGAAGAGCAATTTGGCAAGGACTCCCAAAAGGAAAAATACCTTTATGCATCATTCTGACTTCCAGAAACTTATTCTATGAGCATAGGCAAAAATATACTATGACATGTTCACAGACATTTCCTGGAGTACTGTTTATAATGTCAGTGAACTGGAAGTATTGGAGTGGTCCATCAAGAAGAAGCTAGTTAGGCAAGTTATGGCCAATCAACAGATGGAATATTTAAGTAGCCCTTAAAAATAATGTAGGAGATCTGTATTGCTGATATGGAAGTGTTTTTAAGACATGTGAAGTTAAACAAAAAAAACAGGTATAAAAAACTCTTTAAAGAAAGATGAAGAAAAATAAGGATAACGTGAAGTTTCAAGTTTGATGCGGCACGTACTTTTTCAACTTGGTCATCACAGACAAAAAGGGCAGGGCAGATGAAGCAGCCCCTGCCCCCACGTCAGGCAGTGATGGAGCTGAGATGAAGCAGGCATGTTGATGTGAACTGAATTAACACTTTAAAATTTTAAAAATAGCATTTCTAGAAAAAAAAAGCTACTATGAACCCATTCAAGGTTTTAAAAGATAGAAAGATGTAAGAGATGGAGAGCAGTAGTTACCTGCTAGATGTGGAATGGGTGGGAGAAAAGACGTTTACTTTTTGTTTTATATGTTTGAATGTTTAACTTGTGTGTATACTATTTTCCATTTTAAAAGAGAAAAAAATGTAAGAAAAATTTTAAAAATCATAAGAATGTAATCAGGAAGGTGATTCTGCTAGGGGGAAATTTTTTAATGTACAACTTTTTAAAAGTTGTAGGTGTTGTACTGTTTTAAGGTTATAAAAATAAGGATTCCTTCTATAGTACTGACAAATTATGCAAAATTATGTGAAAGTCTATTTGAAAATACTTGGAACTCTTCTAATGAGGTTATATAAAAGATGAAACTTTGAGTGCAAGTTATAGCAGAGAAAACACTGGAGAAATATTTCTTTCTATCTACATGGAATTAATATTGGCTTTAAAGATGCATTAGCTTCTGTATCTTATAAGACTATGCTGGTGGCATCTACTGTGCTCCAGGTACTTATTCACTGAACATTTCCAGTGCTGCTCCTGCACTGTGAACAGGGTGAGTGCTATCAGTTCTAATTTTCATACAAAGAAACTGAGTCTGGAAGCGTTGATCACCTTATTCAAAGTCACACAAGTTCAGCATCAGACCCCAAAGCCATTCACTTAGCTTGCCTTGTCTCCCTGTCTTCTTTATTTGGGAAAAAATTAGAGGGAAATTAAGAAAATCATCTGGCCTTTTATTCTTGCCCTTCCTTATTTTTGCTTTCAGCAACTAACTTTTTCTAGCCTTGTTTTATGTCCTAGGAGAAGGTACATGACAGAAGGCATTATGGGAGTTGGAGATTATGAGTGGTTTATTAGCTGAATTTTCCTAGGTGTTTCAGTAAAATAGAGAATTCACAGCTCAGTGACTTTTTTCCCTGCAGATATTGTGGATGCTTTATCAGATCCAAAGAAATTTCTTTCCATTACGGAAAAGAGAGCGGATCAAATGAGAGCTATGGGCATTGAAACTGTAAGTAGCAACAGTCAATTAAGACAGGTAGCGATGGCCAATTAAAGACAGCTGAGTTGGGGAAGTTGTCTAACTAATTATAAGAGTAAGACCAAGTCATAAATTAATAGAATAAGTTCAAAAGTGGTTTTTGAAACCGAACTTTCATTTCAACAAAGCAGTTTCAAAAGTCTATGAGGATGTAGCATATTTAATGAAATGTGACCCACTTCATTACTATGGTTTCACTCACATCTGGGGACCCTGGCCCCATTAGAAATGAAATGGAAACACCCATAACGCTTTTAGGAACATTTAAATATAGGATGCTTTTGTGAGACATTGAAATACCAGTTCACCTAAATCAGTGAATAAATAAAATTGGCATTTACTATTGTTTACTTTTCACTAGCTTTATATCCAACCTTCAATGCCAGTGTACCATTGTGGTGTTTCATTCCTTGTTTTTCAAGTTCCCCTTACTCCTCAGTTTAGAATGGAAACAGAAATCTCTCCAATAGCTTGAAAAAAGAAGGTATAGCCTGCTTATTACAAAGAAGCTTCACCTGCTTTTTTTGGCTTCTTCTTTTGGCTCAGATCTGAGGAAACCATATGTTTACTCCTGAAGCAAAGATCTATTTAGGGGGTAAAGGCTAGGATACAGAGGAGCAGTTGATGGTACAGACTGGGTTCAATAGAAGGGAGAATGTGCAAGACATCTGACTTCTAGGTGGCATTCATTTGGGTCAATATAAGCATTTCTGTTCCAGAGTGACATCGCCGATGTGCCCAGTGACACTTCAAAGAACGAGAAGAAAGGGAAAGCCAACACCGCCAAAGCTAATGTGACCCCTCAGAGCAGCTCGGAGCTCAGGCCAACCACCACAGCTGCCCTGGGGGCTGGCCTGGAGGCCAAGAAAGGTAAGAGAGGGTTGTCTGGGCTCCTTATCTGTTCCAGCAGTTTTCCAAACTTTGATGCAGATATTTAGAACTGTTAGTTTTGCCAGTTTTCATGGCTCCATAAAACTCAAGAGCAGCAGGTTTTCTGTGGGTTGAACAAATTGCTCAATTTCTCTGAGTGGTTAACAGGAAAGCAGTGTTTCATCTGCTAGATCCCCTGCACCATAGTTAAGACCACATATAATATCAGTAAACCTAGAAATGTTGAAATTTGGTACTCTTTTTGTGAGGGAAAAAAAGGCATTCACAGAGCGAGCGTAGCAAAATCATTCCCTCTCTCCCTCAGGTACCACCATAAGCATGAGCAGTAAGTTCATGAACCAGCAGAATAGTGATTGTTCCTGACATTCCTAGATCCCCTTTTTGCTAACTTTGCCCCATGGGTAGATATTCAGCATTCATGATTATTTATTTGTTAAATTATCAGATGGGCATCTGAAGGCCAGTTCTCTGTGGTTACCTGTAGATGTAATGGAAGAGCATAAGAGGTTGCATTACAAAGAATTACATGTTCCATGTGCTGATATCCAGTTGGTGTATAGGGGAATAACAGTATTGATTATTTAAGGTTGATTTCCATTCTTATTGTTCAGGCATCCATTCTGATTGGATGATCCCCATTCCACATGATAATTAAATATTTTAAATATCCTCCTTGACCATGAATCATTTACAAAACTCAGTTCTGTTACTTTAAGAATTGCTCTTTTTCCTAATGGGTCTTCTCCTCAGTATAAATATCTCCCATTTATATGTGAATTCAGCATCTTTGGTGTAAGACAGCCAAGTTGTCTGTGTACGTAAGCACACACAGTGCTGCAGTTTAAGGTAAGAAATGACAGGCTTTCCTTAAATGGGGCAGCATGGTAATTTAGCAGGAGATCCAATGTGCGTTGAGCTTTGAGAAACAAATTAGGAAACGAGATGGCACAAAGGCAGCCCGAATTGTGCTCTGCACCAGCATGCCTGTTCCTCCCTGGAGAGAACATGGAGCAAGGTCACGATGCAGGGTATGGGCTTTCCATCCAGCACTGTCTTTCTTAACATCAGCCTCTCAGACAGAGACAGGCAGTGGGAAATGGGAGAGTTTTTGTTTGGTTAAAGTTCTTGTGTCATGCTCACCAGCACAGAAAGACATTAGTTAGTGGCCTGAAAAAGCAGTGTGACCAGCTTGGAGATGAGAAATGGAATATTTCCTGCCACATCAGTAAACAAAGGATGTCACAGGCATCAGCAGTTGTAGCCTCCAATGACTGGGAGCCGGTGAGCCCGGAGGGCACTCAGGAAGGAAAGCATGCGTGCCACCCAGCAGCCATCAGACTGCAGCCACTCCCTACGGTGAGCCCCGAGGAAACGTGGGATGTGAAAACACAGGATACTGGAAGCAGAGAGCTGAGGTACACATGAAAGCAGTGATTTCAGTGAGCCCGGACTCTTCTAATACATAGGAAAGTGCTGAATTTCTTGACTTGACATACCTGGTTTCTTTAAATAACAGTCATCTCTTGTCATTCAGACTACCTGCCCTTTGTTGCAAAACCCCCTAGCTCCTCCCTTCGCCTACTTGGAGCAGTTTTTCAGAGCGCTCTGAAATGCTCTCTCCCACACTGCTGTCCTCATTTTGCCCCCAAATAAAGCCTAACTTGCAGCTCATCGTGTTGTACAGATTTTTTCAATACAAAACACAGAAGTGATCCTAGTTCTAGAAGGGACCATGATTGTGTTCAGAACTGTTTCACTTCTGGTCCTAATAAGATTACGGAGGAAGGAGCCACTGGAAGAAGCTCTCCTTTTCCCTCCTCCCCTGGGCCAACACCCTGAGTAAGAGGGTCTACACGCTGATTCATTTTGGCCTTTTGTTCAGGAGACTCGGGAGCCTCCTCTAAGGCACAGTGGTCAGTCCTACGAGGAATGCCTTCACAGCTTCAGGAACCTCACAGTGAGACAGGCTTCCACACCGTGGCCAGGTGGTGTTCACAAGGGCCGACGGCCTAGAAATGGGAGGAAGGGGGTCCCTTCCAGCCAGGGATCAGACGAGACTCAAGGACAGGATCCTAGCTGAGCGGGGCCTTGAGACCCAGGTCTGACATGAGCAGGGAGAGAAGGTGGGGGAGCCCAGGCAGAGACCAAGGCCACCAGCAAAGCAGCCGGGGCCAGCAGGGGGCAGAGCGGGCCTGATCTGCAGACGGCCTAGGACCACCCGAGGGTGCAGAGGGACCCCCGAGGGCCTTCACGAGGACTAGTACAGTCGTGGTGGGAGTCGTCTTTAAAAAGAGGGAACAAGTGATAAGGGCCAGTGAAGAATTAGGGTACCTATGCCTCTAATGTAACACTTACCACATTGTGTTTATATTATATTTACGCACGTGATATTTATATAGCATGATAATAACTAGAAAAAGGAGTTATTGCAGGCAAGACCACACCTCTGTCATCCAGTATGTCCCTGGAACCATGCCTAGTGAAGATCTAGAGTCTTTTCTCTTAGGAAGTAAATGGCTGGTGAATGAACAAGCCGTGCTAACAGCAAGGAGAGCCTGGATGAGGCTGGATGTGCTCAGAGGGAGAGGAAGCATGGAAATCAGTCAGTGACTTGGGTGTCGGTTTTAGGGGGAAGAAGGTAACTCAGGGACTTCAAGCACAGGTCACAGAAAGAGATGGTACCATTGAGTGAAGCTGAGAACTCAAGAGAAGGGACAGTTTTGGGTAAGATGAGTCTTGTCCTGGAAATCAAGCTGTTGGGGGTGCATCTGGGCAGAAACATGCAACAGCAAAACTGTGGTAGGTCAAGAGGAGGGAGATGGGAGAGAGGGGAAGAGAGAGGATGTGAGACTGCTTAGAAAGATAGCAGGAATGGAAACAAACAAACAAAAAAAGAAAGGTTTGCAAGAAGAATGAGCTTGAGAAAGTAGTGTAGACAGTCCAGAGAAGTTAAAACTGCATAGTTACTGTTGAATCAGGGATGCTTGGGTGATGAGAGTGGAAACCAGGTTAGAAAAATTGATGATTGAAGGTATGAAATGGTTGCTGTGGAGAACACTTGCATGTTGGTAGGAACCAGTGAAGAGGAGAGGGAAGATGCCAGAGAGGGGTGTACAGAGAAACAGGCTCTGAGGGAGAGCCGAATTGAGAGAAAGGGAGCGGTCCCGCTGCATGAGAAAGGAAGAAAGGTGTTCTGTCTGAGCCACGAAGAAGAATTGAAGAGAAGTCCTATGGCAGGAAGGAAGCATCAGGTGGCGCCTACCAGCATCTGCTGTGAATGTCTGTGAGCATGACGGGCTCTGAAGCTCACAGGATTCTATTTGACACGTGGCCCAATAGTAATAACTACACTAGTGCTGCCTGATGTTCTTCTTTAATTTTAAGATTAAGCAACTGAGAAAACGCACTAGTTGATCTCCAAATTACAGTTTGAGAGAAAAGAAGTCATTTTTAATGAGCTGTGTTGATAAAAACAAAAACCGTATGTACTGAAACTTCAACTATTTAAAATCTTTGGGGCCCAAAATTTGCAAATTAACCCCTACTTTCACACCAGGGAAACCTGGAGACCTACACTGTCCGATACAGAAGCCACAGGCCACATGTGGCTTTTTAGGCTTAAAACTAAAAACTTGAGCTTCTCAGGTGCCCTGGACAGTTCACAGATGGAACATATTCACTCTCACTAGAAGTCCTATTAGACAAGCTGCTCTGAGTATAGAGATTGAGCCAGGCCTGTACCAGTTCCTGGTCTGTAGAGTGTGGTTTTTTCCCCTAACTTCCTAAACCTTTCCTAGAAACTAACATTTTTACAATGTGTCTTTCTCTTTAAAAAAAAAAAAAAGCAAAACCAGGGTTGAGGGAGGTTTGTGTTTTCATGTTATTGTTGTTTAGTCACTAAGTCCTATCCAACTCTTTTGCAACCCCATGGAATGTAGCCTGCCAGTCTCCTCTGTCCATGAGATTTTCCAGGGAAGAATACTGGAGTGGGTTGCCATTTCTTCCTCCAAGGGATCTTCCAAACCCAGGGATCAAACCCGCGTCTCGTGCATTGGCAGGTGGATTCTTTACACTGAGCCACCTGGGAAGCCCTTGTGTTTTCATAGGGTCCTGTTAATCAAGATTTCACTGAACCAAGACCAAAAAACCGTCTCAGTGGACTAGATTAGACTCTTAGTATTTGTTAGGGCTCTAGAGCACCTTGCATGCCTCCCAATTCTGTGTGTTCATTTTACAGAAGACAGAAGAAGAAGCCCAAAGATAGGGAGCTCTTTGCAATTTCAGGATAGACCTCAATGTCCTGCAGTAAAGCCAGGAATTAGCTTGTGATGTCAGACCTCAGAGATCAGAGAAGAGCCCATGATCCCTTGACATCCCTATCACAAAGTGTTAGAGATCTGAAGACTGATATCTCTCTGCCGTGACTCTTTACTGTCCTTATCACCCTCAGCCTGGATGTACATGTCTTCTTAAAATGAGTGCAACTGAAAAACAAGACCCTAGAATTTGATACCTGTCTTTCTTGGGTATCTCACACTTAGCCTTTAGGATTCTAATGGAAATCTATAGAATGCACATTCATCTTGTTTACCTAAGATGAAAATCTGCAGTCAAACAGAATGTGTTTTGGGTTTCGCCTGCAAGTGTGGTTGCCATGACAACACCTGGCTTAGCATCACTCCAACAGCAGGATGACTTAGTGTATTACTCTAGGTGTTCATGACTGCATCCTGTTCTACACTGATTTGATTTCGTTATCTTCTGTGTGTTAAGGGCATTCCTGGGCTTAGTAGCATATCACTTAAATGCTAGAATTAAATTCAGTAAAGGAAAGGGGCTGAAAACAATGTTAAGCTGGCAATAGAGTTGGTAGTTAGTGTACTGATAGGATGCATCTTCAAATGCAAAGCTAACAGTGACTGTAATAGATGCTGTTGTGCCTGGTCAGAGCTCCTTTATGGGGCTGGAGCCCGTCCTTCAGCGGGGAGGGACACTGGCTGACTGCCAACCACAGCTGCACTTTTCTCCCTAGGGTTGCCCTCAGACCATGGGAGTTCTCTTGTCTGGAAATGCCTAGAGGATTTTGTAAAACTTCTGACACTTTAACTGAGTGCTCTGGGGTTACACAAGCCCTGTCTCCTTACCTCAAGGTAGAATAACCCTGGAGGGCCATTTATGCTAACAGCTTGCAGGATCTGACCTAGGCTGGATTTCATCCGGGAAAACCCCCAGATTTCTTCCTCTACCCTATAGTGCTTCTCTCACCCCCAGGGGTTTCTTCTGAAAGTCCTTCTGCATAAATCACATGCACATAAACCCTCTTCTCAGTCTCTGCTTGTAGGGGACCTGACCTCAGGCCAGAATGGTTTCAGGTAAGTGTCTAGTTAATTGTCCTGTAATAGGAAACCAAGATGTTTACAGCCTTTGCATGTGTAAAGCTGCTTCAATGTCTTTAGATATGATTTCAAAGCTGAATTTGATATGATCATTTATTCTAATTACACAGTGACTTTTTGTTTAATATAAACAGTAACTTTGTTTCAGGTATTGAACTGATCCCTCAAGTGAGGATAGAAGATTTAAAGCAGATGAAGGTAAAATTGCTGGGTCATAATTGCCAGCACTCTTTTGTTCTATTGGTGAAGCAGTTTTATTTTTGTTTCTCACTGGCTTTAATCATTGTGATAGTACTACACAAAGCTTATTTGCTTTTTTCACAGGCTTACTTGAAGCATTTAAAGAAACAACAGAAAGAGCTCAATTCTTTAAAGAAGAAACATGCAAAGGTACACTATTTTGTGTGTGCAGGCAGCATGAGTGTGCCTCTCTGGATGCTGGTTTCTGTGTTTTTCCCTTTAAGCTCTCTGATGAAAGCAGCTCAGCCAAAACAGCTACTTAGGCTGGGCAGCAGGACCTTCATTTTAACTGGTTAGAAATGACATTTTAAAAGATACTCCATTTGGTATTGTTTGTGACTGATTTCTAAACTGCATTTCTAATGGTTATTTCAAAAGCATAACAAAGCTTCACCCTTTTCAAAATTGTTGAGTAATATGACAAAATTGTTGAGTAATATCTATCACCTGACTATTGAAAACCAACTCATAGTCTTAGCTTCTGGTACTAAAATTCTTTGAGTCTCTAGCAAAGAGTTTGCCACACACAGTGCATCAGGAGAGATGCTGGTCAGCTCCAAACTTCTCAGCCAGGGGACCTGGAGAGAGCTCTTCTCACTTCCCCATTATGTAAACTCTGCTTGGTGGCCTACTTCTGAAATATTGTTGTTCCTACTTATAGGAAGTGGTCTTTGGACAGTAATCATGACCCCATGCACTGCAGCACACCAGGCTTCCCTGTCCTTCACCATCTCCTGTCCATCGAGTCAGTGATGCCATCCAACCATCTCATCCTCTGTCGTCCCCTTCTCCTCCTGCCTTCAACCTTTCACAGCATCAGGGTCTTCTCTAATGATTCAGCACTTCACATCAGGTGGCCAAAGTTATTGGAGCTTCAGCTTCAGCATCAGACCTTCCAGTGAATATTCAGAACTGATTTCCTTTAGGGTTGACTGGTTTGATCTCTTTACAGTCCAGAGGACTCTCAAGGGTCTTCTCCAACACCACAGTTCAAAAGCATCAATTCTTCAGCACTCAGCCTTCTTTATGGTTCAACTCTCATATCCATACATGACTACCAGCAAAACCATAGCTTTGACTATACAGACATTTGTCAGCAGAGTAATGCTTTTTAATACGCTGTCTAGGTTTGTCATAGCTTTTCTTCCAAGGGGCAAGTATCTTTTAGTTTCATGGCTGCAATCACCATCTGCAGTGATTTTGCAGCCTAAGAAAATAAAGTCTGTCACTGTTTCTATTGTTTCCCCATCTATTTGCCATGAAGTGATGGAACCAGATGCCATGATGTTAGTTTTTTGAATGTTGAGTTTTAAGTCAGCTTTTTCACTCTCCTCTTTCACTTTCATCAAGAGGCTCTTTAGTTCCTCTTCACTTTCTGCCATAAGGTTGGTGTCATTTGCATATATGAGGTTATTGATATTTCTCCCTGTGATCATGATTCTAGTTTGTGCTTCATCCAGCCCAGCATTTTGCATGATGTACTCTGCCCATAAGTTAAATAAGCAGGGTGACAACATACAGCCTTGACGGACTCCTTTCCCAAGTTGGAACCAGCCCGTTGTTCCATGTCCAGTTCTAACTGTTGCTTCTTGACCTGCATAGAGATTTCTCAGGAGGCAGGTAAAGTGGTCTGGTATTCTCATCTTTTGAAGAATTTTCCACAGTTTGTTGTGATCCACACAGTCAAAGGCTTTAATGTAGTCAATGAAACAGAAGCAGATGTTTTTCTGAAATTATCTTGGTTTCTCTATGATCCTATGGATGTTGTCAGTTTGATCTCTGTTTCCTCTGCCTTTTCCAAATCCACCTTGAACATCTGGAAGTTCTCGGTTCACATACTGTTGAAGCCTAACTTGGAGAATTTGGGGCATTACTTTACTAGCGTGTGAGATGAGTACAATTGTGTGGTAGTTTGAACATTCTTTGGCATTGTCTTTCTTTGGGATCTGAATGAAAACTGACCTTTTCCAGTCCTGTGGCCACTGCTGAGTTTTCCAAATTTGCTGGCATATTGAGTGCAGCATTTTAACAGCATCATCTTTTAGGGTTTGAAATAGAAATCCAAAATTTGAAAGAATCCAAGTTTCCTTCATTTGCCAAAACAACCTTGAGCTTCTTGGAGCCCCACATTATAATAGAACCAAAACTTAAAAGGAGATTTCAAATCTCCCTAAATCCTGCCATCTAAATCTGTGTGAACTTTCATAACAGCCTTAGTGTACATTTTTTGGAGGAAGCCTTCAAAATGCCTTAGGTTACATCATAGAGCCATATTGCACAGTGCTTGCCCGATGCTTTTCAGAATGCCTTTTGGAAGCATTTCTCAGCAGGCAAATGCATTTCATGGCTTGTTTTCCATACCCACATGTACTTCAGAAGTTTAAGTCACAAATGTATGATTATAAACTTATGAATGAATTCCTTCTCCGACATTAAATACACAGGGGCCCCTGTTTTCTATTCAGCCTGCTTTGCCAGTATAATTACCAAACTCAGACTTCTATAATCTTTTGTATAAAGCTACCATTACTAATAAGGCTGACGTTTATTTAATGCCACTTTTTTGTTACACATTTTATATACATTCTTAAATCCTCACAATGTCCTTGAAACCCAAATCATTCCATCCACATTTCAAGCATGAATAAAATGAAATTCAGAGAAGCGAGTTCCTTGCCAACAGCAACACAACTGGTTTATGCTAGTTATAACTGAAGTGCTTTTCATCTATTTTCACTCTCCCAAAGCCTTTGCAAATAATTATTTTCAAATAGTTAAACCTTCCTCTCTACAAACTTTCTGTAATTTTTGAGTCTATAGTAGTTCCCTAATACTTCCCACTATCTCATCTGAGCCAACTTTTAAGATTAAGGCTATATACAAATATTTACTGGCCTAATATATATACTGAGGTCTACTCAGCTAACACATTTGTCCTTAAAAGTGAAAAAGGAGAAACTGATGAAGGAGGTGGGTGGATGGGGTTGAATCTGTTACCACAGGACATACTTAGTGCTTGATATCCATTTGATCCTAACACTGATTTTTCTGTCAGCACGTATCAAATGGTAAAACTTGCTAATATATACTGAGGTTTATTTAAGTATTTTTTCTTAGGTATTTTATAGCAATTATATAAAAGAGTACTTTAATTATATTAATATATTGCCTTGTATCAATTAGCTTTTGCTGGTTAACAAACTACCCCAATGTAGTGAATTTGAAAGCAACCATTCATTTGGCTCATAATTTTGCAGGTCAGCAGTTTGGGCTGGGTTCTTCCGGTCTCAGCTAAGCTCACTTCTGTCTGCTGCCACGTGGCAGATGTGGGAAGCTGGATGACTTAGCAAGACCTCTCCTGAGTCCTTTCCTCTCTGCCCTCTGTGGTCTCTCATCTTCAGCAGTGGTCCAGACTTGTCCACATGGCAGGGATCCCAAGATCCCAGCCTCAGCTCAGAACTGCACAGCATCACTTCTACCTCCTTCTCGTGGCTACAGCGGGTCACGAGGTTGGACCAGCTTCAAGCGATGAGGACTCTGCTTGGAGGAGGAACCACAAAGATTGCAGAGGGGATTGGATGTGGAGAGGGAGACCATGGTGACCCTTTTTGCAATAGTCTCCAGCCATTTGCCAGATGAGATAATTTACTTTAACAGAAACACAGCTTGACTAAATCACCTAGCGTTTAGATGATGGAGCCAGGATTTGGATCAAAATTCTCAGACTCCAGAGCTCAAGCTCTTCCTCACTATATTGAGTTACCTCTGAATTTTCCAGCATTGGTCTTTATTTCTACACATCTTCTTTATGATCCTAATGAAAGATTTTTGTTTGTTTGTTGAAGTACAGTTAATTTTCAATGCTATGTTAATTACTGCTGTATAGCAAAGTGATTTTGATATAGGTGTGTGTGTGTGTGTGTTCTTTTAAAAATTTTTTTCTTTTCCGTTATGGTTTGTCACATGATACTGAGAATACTTCCCTGTGTTATACAGTAAGACCTTGTTGTTTGTAAAAGTTTTCTAAGAGCAATCGTAAATCTCCAGGGCACAAATATCTTGGCATCTTTTGGACTATTTTTTCCACAAATGACCCTTGGACCAAGAGCTGGAGGCTTCATAAAAAACGCATATTCTTGTTTCCCTAGAGACTTTGTTATCATCTCCATGGGGAAGTCTAAGAAATACATTTTTAATAAGCTCTTTTCCTACTGCTGCTAAGTCGCTTCAGTTGTGTCCAACTCATAGTCCACCAGGCTCCTCTGTCCTTTGGATTCTCTTTCAAGAATACTGGAGTGGATTGCATGCGTTCCTCCAGAGGATCTTCTCGACTCAGGGATTGAACCCACATTTCTTATGTCTCCAATGCCTGCATTGGCAGGCAGGTTCTTTACCACTAGTGCCACCTGGTAAGCCTGAAGCTCCTCTCTTATGCACACTAAATTTTGAAAACTGTTTCTTTAGGAGTATTATTTAACACTTTTTACTGTTCCTCAGTGGAAATCCCACTAATGGCCTGCAAGATACAGAGCTGGCCTCCCTAAAAAATGGATTTTGCCCTGTTGTCAAGCAATAGTGAGAATTAACTCACCCAGCCTTCCTATGAAACAATATTTATATAATGCTTTCTAATAGTTATGATACCATCAAAGATGGAATGAAGTTTGCCACCACACAGGTTTGGCTTATAAACAGCCCTAACGAGGAGGGAGGGCGGCCTGGGCTGCACCTTCCAACCCCAGCACCAGCCACCATGCACATGGCCGCCAGGAGCAGATAGCAGCATGTGCAGTGATTGCAGGGCACTCTCAGCTTTTACATATCAGCCTGAGGAAATCCTTTCTCTTCTCGTAAAGGGAAGCAGAGAATGTGGTTACTTAACCAAGTCATTTAAGCAGTGTACAGTCCATAAGAGAGCCTATTTCCAAACTTGAAGGTTAGCTGCAAGATACAGAAGAAACAGTGGTGTGTCAAGGAGGATCTGCCATTTCTAAAAGAAAGCCAAAGAAATAAGTGTGAATCCCAATCTATACACTACTGATCAGTTCAGTCAGTTCAGTTCAGTCACTCAGTCATGTCTGACTCTTTGCGACCCCATGGACCATAGCAGACCAGGCTTCCTTGTTGATCACCAACTCCCAGAGCTTACT